CCGGGGGGGGGGGGGCGGGGAAAATGCCCCCCCCCCCCCAGATAGAGCCGTTCCCTGCCTCTCCCTCTACAGCTGTCACAGACTTTATTGCGGTTCAGTGTAAAAAACCAGCACAGTACAAGTACTGTGCCGTTTTTTTTACACTGAACTGCAGTAAACTCTGATATATATAATTACAACCCCAGTCCATGTGTCCCCCCCCACACACACACACTTATATATATGTGTGTGTGTGTTTTTCTGGGGGGGGAGGGGCACACACGGACTTGGGTTGTAAAATACATAAAAACATGTGTCGAGTGGCCCCTGAGACGGAAGGGGCAGGGGGGCGAAGACGGAGCTCCAGTCGGGCGGCGAAGATAACAAGGAGGCCGTGTCGGGCGCCAAGGATGAGGAGGCCGTGTTCCAAAGAGGTCAGGCCGTGCAAGGTAAGAGGACTGTGCTGGCAGAGCCCAGCATAGATTCTGCACAGCTCACCAAAGAGTCTCAGGTGGGCTGTGCAATACCCTTTGGTGGGCTCTGCAGAATCCGTAGGGGTCTCTGCAGTCTGCAAAGCCCACCACAGCTCTTGCACAACCCCCCTGAGATCCTGCAGGGTGTCAGGAGGTCTCTGCAGGGTCTGTGGAGGGCTTTGCCGGGTCTCAGAGGGGCTTTGCAGGATCTATAGGGGGCTCTGCAGCCTGCAAAGCCCACCACAGATCCTGCACAACCCCCCTGAGATCCTGCAGGGTGTCAGGGGGTCTCTGCAGGGTCTGTGGGGGGCTTTGTTGGGTCTCAGGGGGGGCTTTGCAGGATCTATAGGGGGCTCTGCAGCCTGCAAAGCCCACCACAGATCCTGCACAACCCCCCTGAGATGCTGCAGGGTGTCAGGGGGTCTCTGCAGGGTCTGTGGGGGGCTTTGTTGGGTCTCAGGGGGGGCTTTGCAGGATCTATAGGGGGCTCTGCAGCCTGCAAAGCCCACCACAGATCCTGCACAACCCCCCTGAGATGCTGCAGGGTGTCAGGGGGTCTCTGCAGGGTCTGTGGGGGGCTTTGTTGGGTCTCAGGGGGGGCTTTGCAGGATCTATAGGGGGCTCTGCAGCCTGCAAAGCCCACCACAGATCCTGCAGAGCCCCCTGAGATCCTGCAGGGTCTCTGCATGATCTGCGGGGAGAGCCCCCCTGAGATCCTGCAAGGCTTTGCTAGTTCTCAAGGGGGATTTGTACATCCATGCTGTTTAGTATAGATGGAGGAATCTGTTTTTTTTTTATATGAAAAATATTACAGTGCATGCCCAGATTTAGTTAACATTTCACAGGTGCTGCATCACTTGGGACATGTTCACGTCTCCCAGTTAGATTTTAGATGTTATTAGAGAATGTTTGGAGTTTAAATGATACATTTCATTATCTAATTCAAACATTTAAACATGGAACCTTTGGAAACACCAGATCTGAAATCCACATAATTATATACAGTACATCAAGGAGGTAAAAACAATGGTTTCTATATGCCACAGAGGTGTTTTTTTGTAACTGACACATTTAGAGATAGTAAAAGTCTTTTTGGAACATCTATTTACCTTTGATCATAGACCTTAGAGATGTTAGGTTTATTATCTGAGATAATGTTTTTAAATAATATTGTTATGGAACATACAGTTTCTGTTCCTATTTAGGCCACATTCCAGTATTTAGAATTTTTGTGTGAGCTTACATTCCAATTCCAAACTCTCTTTTTTGTGATTTTAATTGAAAAAGTAATATGATCTGATGAATCATTTTTCACTCTGTGTCCTACATCTGGGTGGATTCATGCCTGGCACGTCTTTTGGCAAGCATTAACCCTTTTAGTGCCAGACCTGTTTTTCATTTTTCACATGCCCAAAGGCATACACATATGGACTTGAAAATTCTCTAAAGACTTTCCAAACCATGTATTTTCTGAAACTAATGGGCCAACAGATTTTATATTTAGTAAGTATAAATTGTTTATCATTCTTTACATCCCACAGCAGTTGCACAAAGGTTAATCAAAGTATATTTATATTATTAATAATAATAATAATACTGTGAACATGATGCGTTTGAGATGCATTTGATAAATCTAAAACCAGCCTTTACTCCAGTGCTCACATACAGTACATATAAGCTTCTATATGGTTTGATATATAAAGCATATAAATTCAGTTACTTCACCATACCAAGAATAAATCTTAGAATAAGACATTCTGTTAAACAGATATAAAAAAAAAAAAA